CGTGTGTGTTGATAATAGAAGGAGACCATAAAGTGGTTAAAGATCCACATGACGTTCAGGGGTTGTATGTATCAATTGTTGAGCAACATTATTTTACTGGATTATAGGATGCATATCAAAGTGTCTATTCTTTTCAAGCCATAACTGATTAATATGGTCTGTTGCACCTGTAACTATACCGAACAGTGATGTCATGGTATAATGCCACACCCTAGAGTGAATTTCTACATCACTACAAGAAAGTGAAAGTTAAACTCACTTTCTTGTAGTTAAACCAGCACTGGCAAAGCAAAAACAAGATTTTTAGCCGGTGTTGAATTCCTCTGCAGGTTTCTTTTTCTTATAGAAATCAGCCTGAGGTGAAATTGTGAACAATAACTAGCTAGTAAGTGGTCATTTTAGCGAAGAAAATCTACGGTCGCCAGTTAGAAATGAGTAGCTTATGTTTTTCAGCTTCTTTCTGAAATCAAGACTCATTGTTTAAAAAAACGATGCTAAGAATTTTGTCTATTAAATTAGCTGTGGCTTTTCAGAAATTATTCACTCATTCGCTAATTCCTTTTCACTGTCTAAGGAGATCTGTGTAGAAGACTATACAGAGAGCTCAACTGCAAAATGAAAACACTTTTGATCACGACTTGGGTCATTTTGTCTGCGCTATGAATTACATTGTTCCTGTTGCACAATTAAAGATGCCAGATCAACGTGTGCAACCTGGTGCTGCCAATGACAATTACTGTACAGAAGAGAGCTAATTAATGTTAATGAGCAGGTTGCTAGCCTTGATTTGTGCCATATTGACCTAATGCAAACACATTAAATTCACAGAAAAAGAGAGACGACTGGTTGCTCTGTATATTCAAACGTAGATCAAAACCTTGTGTCGGGTGCTCATGGATAGCTGGGAAAAAACACAGATCTTCTGCAGTGGCTCTTTGCAGTGGTTGAAACATGTTTGCTCTTTAATGATTTAGCCACTACAAAAAAGGCTTTTTAATACTTCCTTCCTTGTTTTCTATATTTTTGAAGTGCCTGGATTGCCTTCCTGTGTATCACATTAAATTCACAATTTATTACATGACTAAGACAGGAAACAACAGGACATAGTTAAATGGAAGCTTGTACAACAATTTGCAATCATGCTGTTCTCTCTCCTCCTGTCCATCTGCCATTTTTCTTTTAGTGCAACACATGATGGTATACAGGGCTTGGTTAATGACCATGAGTTGAGGTCCATTCTGAATGGCAAACATGTCAAGTTAATAGAAAGCAAACTTTATTTTTTAAGTACAGTACATTTTCATACGTATAGCAACAGTAACTCAGGGGGCTGTGTCTTATTGTGAGATATATAAGTGATTAATGCACAGTGGTGTACAGGTGTCCTGATATAACAAATACTAACTGAACTTTTCTCCGTATGTTTTAGGTATTGTGTCATAACAAGACATTTCATCATGCGTTTATAGTATCAAAGTACCAAAGCAAAACAAAAGGCTGTGTGGTAATTGTCATCCAGTTAGTATGGCCTTAGTTTAACCCCTTTACTTTACTGTTCCCATCCAATTAGTTAACTGTTAATGTCATTTAAGGTTTAAGTATTGTTGCTATGGTCGTCTTGGTAACCATTAGTGTAAATTGTAAAACAGACTGCCACTGAAAGAGAATATTGTGATCCTGATGGAGCCGATGATCAAAGCTCTAAACTAACTAGATGTTTTGTTATAATGCCTTGAGTGTACTGAAATTTACTGTAAAATATTCTTTTATAATGGTTGTTCTCTGTGAAACACAACAAAATATCACACAGCTGCCAGTATGTTTTATGAATGACTATACAAACACTCTCTTTAATTGAACCCTTCTGAATATTTTACACCGTGTCAGCCAATCTTCAACCAAATGTATCTCTTCTTTATTTGATGAAGTGTGTTCGGTTTCACATAAGATAGGCTGAAAAAGAATTGTAAAGTCAAAGATTACAAAAAAAGCTTTGAATTCTGAATGCTCAAAGCATCATCTTTAATTCCTCTGCTTCCTTTCAGACAAGCGTGTGACAAATGCTTATTAAATCCCTGCTTTGTTTATGTTGATGCCGTTTTTTTAAAAGAACTCAAGGACAGTCACCTTCACAGTATAGTCAGCACTCCAGCTCTGCTGGAAAATTTCTGGTTCCGTCTTTTTTGTTTCACAATGCCTCAATATCACTGTGAGTTTGTTAATATATATGTATACAAAGGAGGCTTTATGCTGTATTCTGTATGTGTGTCTGTACATATTGCGGTGAAGGTACAATCTGAAATGATTAGTTTCTCCAGTTGCACACTGGGAATACTTTACTATGTCGTTTTTCTCATCTCTTTACCTAACACATCAGAGAGAGTCGGATAAACCACCTCTAAACCTGTGAAAGAAAGGTCTAGATTTTTTCGATGCCCTGCTACTGAACCTTTCATTTCTCTCTGCAACTATATTCTTGCTCTTTATTCCCTTTAAAATGGCTCCCGCAAGACCCCTTTTCATCTCCAATTGCTGTTCTGAAGCTTAAACATTAAAATCAAGACTGTGAAGATGGAACTGCAAACAACAAAGCAATTTTCTGCCCTTGCAGGTTCTTATATTATATACGTACTATACTTTACTATACTATACCATCACTATACCATACTACATTCGATATTCTGTTTTAACAACCAAACTGAGCTGAGGAGTTTCCAATGCAGCTGTCAATCATGTCCAAAACTTGAAGCATCAGTCAGAGACCCCTCAGTGAGTTTCCTCACTGAGGGCGAGGGGGGGGGGGGTCAGTCAGTGTGCAGTGTACTCCTGGGTACATTTTGGTTCTGGGATTTAGCTGCAGAGTGAGCACTCTTCGCTGTCATGCTGCTCCCCGACATAGGCAGCTGCAGACCCAGACCCAGGTTGAGTCTTGAATGAGCCGCAGGCAGCTGCCCAGAGGAGGCAGAGATAAGGCAGGAGATAACTATCTTCTTTCTGCTTACAAGAGGTGAATTTATAACTCAGAGCAACTCGATATGATACAGTCACTGGCTTTTGTTCGATATCTAGGGTCGGTAAAAAATGTAATTGCACATTCCTGTTTTGTTGTTCGTGAAGTTAGCATGCATTAGCTTAGAGGGATAACTTGGCTTGTTTGCTATATTACTTGAACACTGCAGACCTTGAATGTCCCGCAGAACCCAACTCAAACTTTATATGGAAAAAAAGGAACCAGTTGTTTAATATTCATATTGAACAGCCAAATCTGATCTGAAAATTGTAGTCGGGTACAGCCCTAATTTTGTAACTGTGTTGCCTACAGTCGAGTCAAAACTAAGCACCGCCCAATGGCTGGAGCAAACTTGCTAATTGTACAGCTAAACAGTACACTAAAATATGTTTCTGAAAACATATTGTTAACAGTTGAGGCGAGAGATAGGCAACACAGTGACAGAATCTCAATTCATATTTGATCAGCGCTGCCTAGTTTGACGGTTTGACTGCAGTTCACGAGCAGTGATTGACATGATTGACAGCTGCGTTAGAGACCCCTTTGCTAACAAATGCCATTTTCACTGATTATCTGTCTTGAGTAATACTGTGTTTATGTATAGACCGTTCCGGCAAATATGGCAAAAAAAATATTTTTGTAAAACTTAACAACTACAGCTTTTCCCAGTATATATATTATTTTGGTTTACGCTGTACATAATACTAGACTGCTGATATTTATCATAACTTGTCATTTTATCTTGTAACTTTATCTGTAATTGCTCTTGTGTAGTATATATTTGTACTTTTATACCGGATGTATCTCATTTTATGTTTACTTCTTTATTTATCTGTACTTATTTCTGTCTTTGTGCCGCTGCAACACCTGAATTTCCCCTCTGAAGATCAATAAAGGCTTATCTTGCCTTATCTTATCTTGCTGTTTTTTAAATGGAATTTCACCCATTGAGTGATATTATCTCAACTCCTTTTTTTGCAGAGTAATGTGCAAAACTGACCAGGCATTGCGAGAAGATCAATTGCTGTTTACATGCCAGAATTGTGTGGGTAGATAAAATGCAGCTCTTGGAGAAGATCCAAGGAGGATACTGAACACAAAATTGTCATTACAGTACTCGAGTGTGTACCAATGTTCATTAATACATAAACTCATATGGCCATATAGTGTAATTTACTGGGTATCAGGTTGGATATTTTAATAGGCCTTCTATAAGCAGATGTGAAAAGAAGAGTCATCTTTTAAAAACTAACCACAGAAATAAGCATTTTTCCTGCACAAGGTTCAGAAAAAATCAAACAGTTTTTTTTGACTTTTTGATTTGATCGACATTGACAACTACATCAGTTTAGCAGTGATGGGATTAGCCAGTGTTATCTTGTTAGGGGGAGTTTCTATTCGTAACCAGGAAGCGTTGGTTTCCTATAAAGGAATTGTGGGATGCAAAGTCTTTCCTGTCCTTGGAAGCCAGCGTGGCTGAGTGACAAGCCGCTTTTGTTGTCGGAAATGAAAGCCCTAATAAAACTGATATGTCACTGCCAGAGGAAAACTCCACTGCCATTTTAATCAACTACAGGGGCAACAATTTTATATCTCAATATATATGTGTATTTTATTTATTTCCTCAAACTTTTATTGGTTTTGAGGAAAGGCCTCAGAGAAGTGTGGACAGCCGATTTAACTCCTTTGTTCCTTTGTGGTGATGTAGCTCCTTAGTGCCTGTGACATCTAATCTGAAGGGAGATATTTTTAAATCCTCTTCCTTAACTGTTCCTTTCTTTCTTCTACTATGTTTATTTACCATGTTTCTCTCTCAGTTATTGTCACATTCTCCATTTGTGATCCAGTATCGTGTGATTTGTGTCACTGATGTTTGTTATCGTAAAGGAATAGCTCCTCTCATCCTAACTTTCATCCTCTTATTCTTCTTCCTCCTTTCTTCCATCCTCTCCTTCCTCCATCGTCTCTCCTTCTCTCTCCCTCTCTGTAGCCTGCAATGATCTGGTGGCCTCAGGCAGAGACAGGAAGCCCAATGCTTTGGTCCAGGTGGCTGTCATAGATCCCCACAAGCAGCACCTCGTCTCTCATGCCTGCACAGAGATAGTGGAGGTAAGGCCACACACACACACATGCACCATCCTCTCTCTGACCTTTGATGTTTGTTGTTTTGCTGTATATCTGGGTCACTGGGTCTTGGTTGGTGTTCTCTCCATCTCTGTCTGCCCTCCTTTTTTCTAAACCTTTTTTTTCCATATCTGACTCATCTAACTGGAACAGACTAGGAGCCATAACTTTATATCTACTCTGAGTCCAGACATCTATCAGAGCTGGTGTGTTGTTCTTTATCAATGCCATGTCTCAACATGTGACGTATGTGTTTGTGAGTGTAATTCTGCAGAGGCTCCATACAGTGAGAGTGTTTATGTGGTCTTTAACGTCTTTAAATGCATCTTTTCTTTATTACCTCTAGGGTGACAGTGCTGTTGCCAAGGCAGCAGTCACACAAGTGTTTTTTGGGCGGCAACAGCTGCCCCCTGTCCCACTATGGAACACCCACTTACACACATATATGCACACACATGCACACACACACACACACACACACATTTTTTCTCTCTCCTCAGACGAGGGCAAAGTTTCCTGACGCATATTATTTTCCTGCTAATCCAGTAAAGCTAAATGAGCATAACCGTCTCTTTCAAAGACTGCATTTCAACTGCTTTGCCCCTCAGCCATGTCAAGGGAACAGCAGTGCATGTGTGTTTGAGCATGTGTGTGTGTGTGGAGGAACACAGGATGTGGTAGGATACTGTATGCTGGCTCAGCCAGCTCTGCAGAAACTCCGAGTGCCGCTGGAGTTTTGATTTCATGGCTGTAATGTTCAGGATTTGGAGTAGGATCTGAGGATATGGACTGCTTTCGTCTTCACAAAAAACGGGTATGTGCACATTCTGTGTTATTTTACAAGTCTGTTTTAAAAGAGAGGTTTGCAGCCTCATAAGAGGTGTTTTAGATAGTCGGAGGAGTTTTCTCTGCTATATATTCTTTTTATTAGTCCGGATTGTGTAATACAAGTGAAGATACCTGCTATAACATGCAGCAGTATATTTAGCACTTAACACAGAGATCAGATCAATCTGATCAGTAATAATAGTGTTAGTTTATCACCCAGAAGCAACACAGCATTGGTAAAATATCAATGTGACTTTGGAATCCTCCTTGAATGAAGTGTGTGTGTTGTTTAGAGGAACAGAGGTCGCTTGTCAGGACAGTGGTGACCAGTAGGGTTCCCCCTCATACACTGACTTCCAACATGAACAGCAGCAGATGTTCATTAACCTGTGTGACCAAAGGTGGATTTGTTCGTGTGCATGTGTATATGTGCGTGCTGGGAAGCCCCACTGTGTGTGTGTTGAATCTGAAGAAAGCCCAACTGCCACTTGTGTTTCTCCGGTTTGTCACATTCCCGGGATGCCTGCTCTCAACAGCTGCCGCTGGCTTTGCTGGACACTGACCAGAGTCTTGGCGGCATGAAAGCTTCAGTCCTTGTCGTTCTCAAGTGATAGGTGTATAATCAGGAATCCACGGTATATGACATAAGGGTTTAATTTAGGAGATAAATGATTGAACATGCCAGCTGCCACTTAGCCCTCTGTAGTCTACCCCATGAATCACTGGACAGGGATCAGATAAAAAGAACAGGATAGCATTTAATCACATTGGATCTGGACTTTACTACTGTTTAGTTAAAGTCTTCAGGTGTTTTGGCTTTTTGAAAAAGTCAATTTTAGAATCCATATCTCTTAAATTACTGCGACTGTAAAAAAAAATAAAACAAAGTGTTACCCTGTGATACATGTTTTCCCTGTGATCAGACTAGAAAAGTGACTGAATAAAGTATATTTACAGGTCACTGTGAACACTAATAGCGATTATTAAGTTTAGAAGGTTTCAGGTGTGAAATTGGCCGTTTGTATCAGTTTGAAACACAAAGATTATAGAGCCAGTTTATTGGTGCCAGTGGTGCCTACTTTACTAAAATTAGGGGCGACATTTTGTACAATTTGGGTCATTTTCCCTGAGGAAGTTTGGCTGTACTCTAATGACTCGTCCCCTCCTGACAGGGCACAGAGCTAGTAGGTCTGACACATGATGACTTGCAACTGATGACAGATAAAAATCAAATGACATTTCAGTTCATTAAAACTAACCTGAAACTATTTCTTTTCCTATTCAACTTATTATTTATTCAGCTATGTTACTGAAGATGCATAAAAAAACTCATTACATTTAATGTTAATGTATGGAAATAGGAGATGGGACTACTTATTTGACTGGGTGGGTTCAAGGCTTTGATTGAAGTATATGGCAGCAAACATCTTGATAGCCCCCTGGTGGCTGGCTGCAGTATAGGTCATTACATTAACCCCGCCCCTTCCATGTTAGCAGATGGGACATTGGCAAACTTGACGCACTCGTCAAATATAGTTTCGCAAAGATAATTTCTGTTACTTAAGGTAGTTCTTGTCAGGCTGCTTTATGTTCAAGTGCTCATTTGTTGGATATGTTTAGTTTTAAATAGCTATTTGGAGCTAATAAATCATTATTGACAGCTGAGTGTGCCAATTAGTGTGCTCACGATCAATGGTACTGCTCGCGAGTGGTCGGTAAGCGGGAACTCGATACCGTGGAGGTTGGTACTGCTGGATTCTGGCTCCAAATGACGTCACCAGCGCAAGAGGGCATCAGCTTTATGTGGGATATTTTGGCTTCATATTTCAGCGTTCCCACAGTCATGGAAAAGCTGGAAATGTCATGGAATTTGTAAAAATCATTGAAAATTTTGGAAAACTCATGGAATTTACTTGTGTGTAATGACATTTTCACAGTAGTCTTTTGTGAATAGCCTTTATTTTCAGACGCCGTCGATGTAAGGTAGCTCTGATATATGTGGATGTGTGACGTTTGTCTACCATCACAAGCGTTTACTTTTTCCCTGCATTCTGTCTCTCCGTCCATGTAAATCAGCTACCAGAAATTACAATTATGGGCAAGTAGGGCAAAAAATGTTAATATTATGGATCCTTGAAAAGTCATGGAAAAGTTCGGAATTTTTGTCCATGAAAATATGTGGGAACCCTGATGTTTGTATAGTGGGAGGAAGTGGAGAGGTGCTGTCCATCTTTATATATAATAGTTGGTACAAAACAATAAAGTACATTAAATTAATGAATACTAATTTCCTTTATAAAACACCTTTAAGATAAGCAAATGGTTTATACTTCAAAGTATTAATATGCCGTATGATATGGAACTGGGACACAATGCCATATTTCCACAAAAGGCAGACGCTTTTATCTCCACACAGCAAGTCTACGCCTGAGTGTGGGCACTGTATCTTAATCTACTGTTGGTAAAACAGAAAGGAATGGTGACAACTTAAGTAGAAAATCTAAAGCCCTCTAAATCTCTTTAAAGCGCAATAGGAAACGTCTTCGACAAATTGTATTTGAAGCTCGAGACACAAGAATGCTATCTAGTATCTCATAGGAAAACCCCACTCCTAAAACACAGGCAGGCAAATATGGGTCCAGGGGTGGTGGTACTCAAGGGATTTGACGTCACGCAGAGCCAAAGGATAAAACAGCCTTTGATGTCATGCTAGTCAAGCGAAGAACCCCCTGCCTGGAGCAAGTCCAAAAAGTCTAGTCTCTGTGTGTGTATGAGTGTGTGTCTGTGTGTCTGTGTTTGTAATTATGAGTGGTCAAGTGAGGAAGAAAAACCTCCACTGTAGTGAGAGTTAAGCCAGAATACTTAATCCCCCCTCCCCAACCCAATCACACACAAACACACACACGCCCTGTAATGGCCTAAATTGGCCATTCCACTGAGGTTTGCAACCCAAACGGACAAAAAGACAAGAGAGGGGCAGCTGTCTCCCATAGCATATGTTGACCACTTGTATGACAGACTGGCTTACTTCTCTGTGTAAATGGAGACAGGCTTACCAGTTTAGCTCATCTCAGCCCATCAGTAGCACTAAGAAGATTCAGCCACAGCTGAGGCTGCCAACCATGCTGGTAAGTCTGAATGAGGCCTATTCAGTGTGCCAGTGAGGGAGGTGTAAGAGCTTATGTGTGTGTGTGTGTGTGTGTGTGTATGTGCATGTGTGTACGTACCTGCACGTTCTTGGATATAATGGCTCTGTCTGTCTTTTTGTTGGTGTACAGCACTGATGTATATCCAGCTTTGCACTGAGCTTAAAACAGTGCACTGGTTCCAATGTGTCTGTACGCGTTGTGCTGAATCGGGCTGTGTGTTTAGGATGTTAGTATACACAAACCACAAAGCTTCGTGACTGGGCGGCAAAATGGCACCGGGCATCAAGACTGGTATTACCATGTCTAGAGAGGCTGAAACAAGAAGCGATAGACTTGTTTTATTTCCCCTTTGTCAGCGCATGGAAGATTTCTGAAGGATCAGCGGGGTTAGTGGTGCGGTGAGGACGTGTGTCTGCGTGTTCCTTCCGTGAGTGTGTGTGTGCAGTTGAACACAAAATTCTGCCTTTGTGTGTGTGTGTGTGTGTGTTTGTTTGTTAAGTACACACTGCTGTTTTTAGGGCGCTTTATGTCTTGGCTCCCAGTCCTCCTGACACCCATTGTTGTAGCCATGGACTCGGGGCTTGTTGGTGTCAGTCTCACCTGAGCTCCAGTTATGCTGACTTACCATCATTTAGCATTTGCTTTGTCTAACAAACTGATGCAATGCTCAGGGTTTCTGACGCAATAATCAGCTACTGTGCAGGCAAGTCTCACACCTGTGCACTGACTCAAAACCATAAATTCATTTATAATCCCTCCCCACTCAAAAATATGTTTTTAGTATGTTTATGCTCCATAAAATGCCTGAGTTGTATCTGTGCAAAGTTTGTCACATTTGTTCACATTCCTCTACTGAATGATGTGAGTGCACGTCCCTGATTCCCTGATTCTAGATTAGATACGTTACTAACACGAAAGCCAACTGCTGTGTAATTCGGGCAACACATATCGACGGGAAACAGGCTTTGACACAACACCGACAAAGAAATTTGAAACCTTCAGCGCGTAGTAGACTTGTCAAAACAGACTTTGCATTAGCAGGTGAAAGTTTTGACCGCAAACATGGTGGAGTGTGCAACTCTTTGGATGTAAACCCTGGAGCTTCCTTCCACTGTCTACCAGAAACCCCTTTGTAGGAGATGTTATTGAATGTTTCTCAACCACTCACGCTGTGTTAGCCACTGCCAGTTAGCCTATAAGCTAACACGCTCCCGAACAACATAAAAGATACTAACTGCGCTTACCATTCTGATTTGTCTCTTGGTTACTGATTTTGGTGCACAATAGGCTCTGACTGTGGCTCAAACATGTATGCCTGAATTTCTCCAATGATTCCTCTCATGCTAACGCTAGCCATCTTCACTCTTTCACCGTGAGACCTTGAGTGAGAAGCGCTGGAGAGAGTGGAAACCTACCGCAAGCAGTGGTGGTCGGTGGGACAGGGCCAGACTCAGAATTTCACGATGAGGGAAAAAGAGTAGATCAGTTTCCAGCCCTTTTTATTTTTTCTTTTTTACTATTATGTGTGAAAAAACATGTTAAAGAAAAAAATGTTACTGCCAGTTTTATTACATACTTTCAAACATGTCTGGAGAGGGACCTTGACTTTAAGTAGAGTAACAAGGGTGCAATATCCATTTGTGAACATTTTGACCTAAGATCCAACTGGGATCAAAACGTCTATCTAACTAAATGCAGTAAAATATGAGTACATTACTCTGCACACTACTTGAAATATTTCACTCATGATACAGCCTACATTTGTCATATACAATACATCAATATTGGAAAAATATTTAAATGATTTTTATATTTTATTTCAACTGTACAGACCACCCATAGATTCTTTGCTGGTGTTTTTTTTAACCCAGGGTGTGACTATACTTTCATACATGCCAGTCTGTCTGTGTCAGTCTCATTACCATTCCCCTGCCTGTCCCCACACAGTCCCAGAGGGTTACATTCTAGAGACGCCCATCAGAGCGGAGCAGAGGAAGAGGAAGCCCCCAGTGTAAACACAAAGTGCTTTGAATTGGTTCAAGTAGACAACACTAAATGGCTAAACAATCCTTGAGTCTTTCCCAGAAAAGCCCCTTTGGCTTCTGGTTCAACACGAGTCAGTCATTTTTGCAGGGTCTAAGAAAATTCAAAGAAAAGAATGAGTGCGACAGAGATGACCTGGGCTAATTGAGATAAGGTATGCACCTGAGCCAGCTGAATCTTTAGATACACTTAAACTCATAACATATCTCTTCAAATCACCAGTTGATGCAGTTACATTTGGCCGTTTGGCAAATAAAATTAATGTTCTTAAAACAATTTTCTTCAAACAGGAGTCTTCTCTTCCAACACTGTTGGAACAAGGTATATTACCTTGGCAAGAGTTGGGTTTCCATCCATGTAGCACAAATTTTACCTCAATTTTCAGAAAAAACAGCAAAGGAAAATGCAAATTTATGTAGTTTTCCATCCACTGCTGTTATGCAAATACTGGGAATTGATTCATCAAGATAAGTAGCAGGTGGCGCAAACTCTCTAGTCAGGTGCCACTGTATAAGCGGGTGTAACGAGATTATATAATTAAAGGAGCACCAGTCAAACCTCAAAGGAAGGAAAACATTGGATGTGTAGTAACAGAGAGCACAGAGGACAATGGAAGAGCTTTAACTTATATTACAACTATGTGCCCTTGGAAGCTGTATTTCGAGATTTCTTTTAACTTTTGGGTTTTCCACAAAGGTTTTTAATGCACAAATTGAAAATGTGCATACATAAAGGCGGATGGAATCGCAGCTATGGTCAGAAAATTGTTGAAACTAGGGACATTATCTAGATACTGGCAGAGAAACCTGCCTTATTTTTTATTTGTAAGAACATTTCTTACCAACAGGTGAAACAAGTGACACACAGGTCCACACTCTGCAGGTACTGTGGGGGTCATAGAGAGGGTTTTAAATCTAAAGTAAAAACATGTTACAACCTCGTTAGGACATTTTTACAGTGTAATAAAAGTAAGGTCTCTGCAGTCCATGGCAAAACAAGCCCTGCAGTTCAAAAGGTGTGGAAGTTAAAGGTGACGACTGGGTATTGTGATAACAGGATGTTGTGAGTGAATATTAGCTGATGCCATGCAGCCCTCTGGTGTGTTTGAAGAAGACCCAGTACTGGCTGCTGTGGACACTGGTTTGATCCCATTGCCACCTTGCCACTGTGCCAGCTTACGTGTCAACATTAGAAGCTCCTGGCCCGCAGTCTCAGTTGGGAGGCAGTAGGTATGCCAGACCTCCAGGTAGACCCACCAGGGAGAGCTCTATCTTCTCCTTTTTTTGCCCAGGAGAGGCAGCAGGGGAGGCAAGAGGAGTGGGGAGAAATGCCGGGAGGAAGAGGAAGAGGAGGAGGACAGACTGAGCCCAGCTGTTGGCTCATTTACCCACCCAAGTCTCCCTCCCTCCTTTTATCCCTTCGGCTTCCTGCCTTTTTTTTATTATTTTTTTTTTTAAACACGTGTGTTGCAGTACAAATGTGCATATAAGGGTACACGTCACCACACATGTACACACACACACACACAAACACACACACACACACACACACATATAGTGTCTCACCCTGTTTCTGTGTTGTCCCCCTTTCTGACAGGCGAACAAAGACCCGCTGTTTCTGACAGGGGTGACCTTCCCTTCAGAGTATCCTGCTAGCCCGGAGACACTAGTCAAGCTAACTGTGTATGATGCAAAGGACAAGGCCCAGGAATCAGTGAGTAAACAGTGGCTGCGTTTCTGTGTGTTTGTTGTATGTTTTGCATGTCGAAAATTTAGTGAATGTGTGCGTGAGAGCGAGATGATAATGGGGACGTGTTCAAAGCCAGCCGTCACTCTTCATGCGTCGGCTCGGCAGCAGGGAGCTTTAAACTTTGCAGAGGATGAACATGAAAAGCTGTGAGAAATCTGCAGCAGAATCTCATTATGTTTATATTTGTCCTACAGATTCGGAGGTGCGATGAATCCTGTGCTGATTTATAGCAGGCAGTGAATTATAGTACCGTCTTAGTGATCATTCACTTGAGGCAGTCTCCGACTAAAACCTTAGCCTTGAGTTTTGAAGGAAAAGGGTGTGCAGCCTTTCGATGAGCATCTGAGCATGGCAGCCAGTCCTTTGGCATTGATCCCGTGGGAAAACCAGCTGGCACATCAGTGGGAATGGGAAAGAGAGCCAGACGTAGAATCCTGAGGGGGCCGGCCCTCTGAATCAGACATTTTATACAGGCTCTCCAGTGTGGGTGTATGCATGATCCCAATCAAGCACCCCACTCAACCCCGGGTGCCAAGATCTTAATTTGGCATAACTGGCTATGAAACATTCATGAGCTTTATGATGAGTAGAGACTCCATCATTGCAGCGGTTAGCATTTGCAAATGTATTACATTAGAGGCCTTTACATACTGGAGGCGTTTTTTTTTTTTTTTTTTTCTCTTCATACGCTTAATTCACATATCAATATATTTTTTCAGACTGTTTTTTTTTTTGTCATGAGTACTTTCAAAGAGAATCAAAATAGTACGCAGCAAAAAAGCGATTATTTATTTATTTATTTTGTTATTTTTTGGAACAAAGTAAATTTTTCTGAGCTTTCACAGAAAAACCATTACTACACGAAGGCTCTCTAGCCCAGTCAAAGATGGCAAACTTTCTTCTTTCAACCTTGACAAAGGCAGCACATACCAGATCCACTCCTTACATTCTTACGTAACTGTTTACTAGAGTAAACTACAATTCAGTGGTCAGCATTTTGTGGAGCCCTTCTGTGCGGAGTTTGCATGTTCTCCCCGTATCAGCGTGGATTTCTCCTGGTTCTTAGGCTTCCTCCTGCAATCCAAAGAAATGCAGGTTAAGTGGTGACTCTAAATTGGCCGTAGGTGTGAATGTGAATGGTTGTCTGTCTCTGTATATCAGCCCTGCGATAGTCTGGCGACCTGTCCAGGGTGTACCCCACCTCTTGCCCAGTGACAGCTGGGATAGACTCCAGCACCTCCTCGCCCCCTAACAGAAAAGCGGTGACAGAAATTAAATGAATGAATGAATGAATGACAGTCCTCTAAAAGGTAACACAACACACTGAATCACAATGTTTGCTTACAATAACTTCTGAATTGAAACCCCCACTATACCGTCAGACAGCCCTTTCAACGGCGAACTGAAGCCATTATCTCAAAACCGCCAGACTACATTGACAAAAACAATAATTTTACCTTGAGAGTTGTTGGTCTACCGCTGCCTCGATTAGGGAGTGTGTAAGGTAAAGTGGAAAAAATCTAAATATAGTGTCCACTTAAAAGGATATTGATATTTTTAGGTGGGTCTTTTTAAGTGGCTTAAATGTGTTTAGCTGCATCCACAGCAGTACAGCGCTTAGCTTCCACGCTGGAAGATTTGGTTTACCCAAGATGCTAGCAAAGAAACACAGCACATAAAATAAGTCCAGCAGAAACCTCAGATAGGTCAAACCACAGTGTTACAACATTACAGATACACTTGAAAGTGACAACAGAAATAAACAGGTTTGCTGATCTCACATTTCTCTGCAGTAGAAATCAATTTACAGTTGTCTACTTGGAAGTTATTGTCATCAGCACGATGCCTCTGTAATTCAGTCTATAAAATAGCTTACAATAGCTTAGGCCATACAACAACTTACCTCAAACAGACTTCCAGATGCTGCTCTGGGTTGATAAGGAACCTGGTAGTTGGTTCTCTGCACCCTCAGATGCTGCCGGTATGAATAGATTTAATGCAAAATATTCACAGGGGAGTATTTTGCATTTTCTTGTTGTTACCTCGTCCTGGTGTGTAAAGGCCTTACAGTCTCTGATTTTGCGCCAGCACAAAGCCAGCAGTGGCACAAACACGGGTCATTTGTGTTTGGCATAAGTTTCTTTTTCACTTTCAGTCTGACTGTTAAGTTGTTTTGTAGCTTGAGACTAATTTTCTTGCGCCAAGGTGGGTGGGTTGTGCAATTAGTTGTTTGTTTTGGCCTGACGGTGTATTGTTTTTCTACCTGCTGAGACAGTTTCTTATCGCACACCCAGAGACAGGTGGTTGTTATGCGCAGGTCAAACAGTCTGAATCCTCATTCATTGCTTTAATCTTCAGTTACCACGCCAAGCTTCGCTAAAATAGGAAGATGGGCTTCTGTGTTTCTCTGAACACCAGACTGGTATAGACTGTACCACTCTACCCATATTCCTTGTTTTTATAGGGAAATCATTTGGAATACAGGAAGCATCTTCAAGATGCGTCCTGAGCTCCTGTAAACATCTTTTCTTGAAGCAACTCCAAACACCACATTTGAGATATTTTTCTCATTCTTGTCAATGGGAACACTGTGGAGGAACTGTCAGTCCATGCAGTCACGTAAACACCCAGACTGTTGCTCTTCCTATCTAACATGCCCATCCGACCTTCTTAATAGAAGCTTTTAATTACAAAATCATATTAGCAGTCAACCGTAATAAATGTAAACACATTTTGTCGTCCCATAGGTTGTGTTGCTGTGCACCTGCACGGGGTCTGCCTTCTAAAATAACTTAGCATGCAATGTCTGACTCCTGAGACGTAATTTCAGCTGAAACAGGGACATCATCTGGTCTTGCATCCATATTTGGTGTGCCGTATTTTAGTATTTGGGACAATGTATATTTGTGCCATGCGACTCTGCAGCTCCTGGAGACAGTTTTCTCCTCAGAGAAGTGGGTCTGGATGTCTCTCTCTCTCTCTCTCTGTAATAGGGGAACTTATTTGAGGCTAATACAAACTCCAGCTGCTGATAATATATTCGTCCAACTAGTAATGTATTCATCCTGCTGCAGCTTCTTTTCCAGATTGTGCCGTGCTGTGCCAGGATACTGTTGATTGCCAAGTGTGGAAAAATTGGTTCCGCACACGTTCCATGAGTTTGCTGCTGTGCTCGCATACAGTTACAACAAATTTAAGCCAAGACCAAGTGTTTAGATGGCTCACAGATTATTTAAAATAGGTTGATAAAACACATACTGCTGCAGTTAAAGAGAAAACAACATAAAATGGAGCCTAAACTTTATCCTCACTCGTACATTACTTACTTTTGTTTGAATTTCATCATGTAGCACACCATTTACTTTAGTGGAATGGCATTAACTTGTGTATTTAGTCATTTACCTCTTTGAATTCAGCCTTGAAACATAATCCCAGACGGAATTTGCTTGAAATGGGAACACAGTGGTTTATTCTAAGGTGTGTATTGAATATTCATGTCGAACAACACCCATGTGAGCTCAACATTGTATAAACTCTCCATTCATTCCCCACCTCCTTCCTAGGGGTATATCTTGTGTTGTGCAGTGCATTGCCACCAGAGGTTTTACTAAACAGAATGTGGCCAGGAGAGCTAATGCCTGGATATAAAGATATTTCACTGATACCCGGTAAAATATTTACCATCTTAATTCAAGTTTATAAGAACAGCTTTATTAAAAACAGGCTGTTTTCCTAGGGAAGTGCTCTCTGAGGGTTGTGGATAAAATATTTTAATGGCTTTAGAATTTGTGATTTTGAGTGTCTCTCTGTCTTTCATGCTGTCCCTCTCTCTGTCTCTCTGTGAGTGATATTTCTCAGTAGCTCCTGTCAGTCTGTCAAGAATATCTCTGACACACAACACAGCATTTCACTCAAGCTTGGCTTTAAGGGCTTAAAGCTGAACCAACAGCCTTACAGGACAGGTCCTGTTGAGCCTTTCTAACTCTTCACTTTTGAATGACGAGCTGCATCCCAACTTTCTGTGGCCATTTCAGAAAAATGACTTGGATCAAGATTTTTTGTAGCAATTTTTAAAAAATTGCACAAAATCCTCTCTCCTTTTTCTATTTTCTTCTCAGACACCAGTGCTATCGTGCTGTGGTTGGCTTTTAGATTTTCAGCTCCGCTCGGCTGGGCACAGTGTGCTTGTCTGGGTCTCATTAGAGAGTCTTTAAGTGACACAGGCATGACCCTGAACATGAGCTGGCACAATGCGCCAGCCCCCAGCCGCTTAAGTGGCAGATCGGGAATCACTCAGCCAAGGCTCAGTCATTTAATGTTGCTTTTTTTTTTTTTTTTCAGAGGAGGGAGTGATAGAGGGAGAGAAGTGCATGGGGGCAATTTGCTGTGTTTGCGTGTGTATATGTGTTTTACAAATCAGCTGTCAAAACTTTTACATACCACTTTCAGCTCCGGTAGCAGATGTTGTGCCACGAGCTGATTCACTGCAATGGAAAGCCGATAGCACATATGGCAAAAACAGAATATTTATGTAAAAAAAAAAAAAAAAAAAAACCTTTGTAAATTGCCATTTTGTGTGATAAGCCATGTCTGTTCACCATAAGAGTTTTGGAGTGGAAATACAAGGGTAAGAATTGTAACAGTGAGGGGGAGGGAACTGATGCAGCGAGGTTTATAGATGACTGCTTTAACATTCGTCGAGGATCGGAGAATTTCATAGTAGGATGATTTCCTTCTGCCTTGGGCTTCCCATTTAGATATTCTAAGATGACACTGGCTGCATGGTCATGAATATTTGAGAACACGCACAGGGCTAAGAGAACGATAAGTGAGGGAGTGGAGGTGTGAGAAGGAGTACGACCGGGTTAGATATCTCTCAGGTGTAAGTGATCCCCCCCTGAAGCCCTGGTTGTCAAAGGATGACAGGCTAGCCTTACTTTGTCACTGATGTCTTACCTGCAACT